TTGCCATGTATACATGGAATATACTTGGACTTTTTATTCCATTTCTTGAGGACAGTGAAACCATTCAGAATTTAAAAACACTGGTCTTATACATGTCATTGAACAATTTTCAAAACAAGACCTGTGATTTAGCCATATGAAATATTAGTCACTATTGAATATGCTTCAAAAACCACTACTTGGGTGCTACCATCTTTTGTCATGCAGAGGGGGTTGGGGGTCATAAATATCATAATAAAAATTGTTTTCACGATTTTCCTGTTTTTTGAGAGTTTTTTTCGAATGACATGAAATGGATATGTGGAATGCATGGTAGTGCACCCAAATCACTACTCAATATACAAATTGGGTCTGACAATTCATAGATTTAAAAACTTACTTGGAATGATGATTGAACTTCTTGGCCAGGGTTCTAAAACCAGAAATACAGCTAAACATTTTCATCATATTTAATGACGTGCAACCTACCTTATAATGACTACAGTACCATACAATCTTATATAATGAACAACTAAATTTGAATGCATGAAAATCATGAACCAATTCATATACACACACATCACTACTATCATTTTCTGTAGTACTGGTTTCAAATTGAAAAAAAAATATAATTGTATTACCAAAATAAAAAAAAGGTGACCAGTTATATGTTGAATATTATAAATAATCATAGCCAGTAGCATCTGACCAATATAATAACTAATATGCTCTGGTATATCATAGTAAAACCTATGCTACTCAGACAACTCAGATCACACTTTTGAGATGTAGAGACATGGGCCACGCCAATTCAATTTGTTGGTTCTCGGATTCGCCTCTTCATTTTTTTCTGATTTGCAAAAAAAAAAAAGATTCTGGTTCTAAATCAACTAAAAATGCTGATATTTTGCCCCCAACAGTTGAGGAAAGTCATTTTCTTCCTAGTTGTTACAGTTTTTCTATCAATCAATGCAGTAGTTTACTTCAAAGTTCAAATTTCATTGTTTCAATATTAACCCAGCCTTTTGTGTTGACTTCATGGCTATACTAGTATTTGGGGCTATAATAGGATCCCTAGACCTGTTTTTATTTTTAATTGTTTTCCCCCCTGTCGCTTCATATTTTTCTTAAAAGATCCAAGAACTAACAAATTAAATTGGTGTGGCCTAAAGTTTGCAATTCTAACTAGTACACTTTAACTATAGTCTGTATATTAAAGGTGATTCATTGTATAGCCATTAAAACTCCTACAATAGACAATGTCAACAAATATTAACATCCTAGATACATTTTTGTAGATTATATCAAGGCAAGGTTGGGTCTATAGCAAAATTTTCAAATTCTTGAAACGATTGGCAATGCTTAAAAACAAAAATGATGGTTTTAAAATAATTGTGGTTTTCAATTTAGTCATAGATATGCCAAAAAAAGATACAATATTTGAAGTTACATACAATTTGGGAAGTTTTTAAAATACTTAAATCATCTCAGCATTCAAAACATTATTAACATTAAATTCCACAAACTGAATGTTGAATGGAAAAATCGCTGAAGTCAAAATCTGATTTCTTCAGTCTATAAGAAAACCCTCCAATAGCTTGTCCTCACTCAGTGTAACTTTAACCCATAAAAATATTACTAGTATATGCCATAATCCTTACCATGTGTTCAGATGTAAAATGAAGGAAAAAATGTACCGTTTCCACAATTTTTCAGTAAAACTGCTAAAAATTAACCCTTTTTCAATATCATACACTTATCTGGTTCTGAATCAGTGTTTAACTTTCCACTCCTAACAATCTTACAAAGAGAACCTTTAAGAACATTGCAGACATATACCAATGATAATTTGGGGTGTCACCAAAAATTCTGACCCCAATGATTTAATGTTATCATGCTACAGCTCCATCCTTGATACCAATATACATATTATATCATATGATAATTAAAAGTGGAGTCACTATACACCACATTCTATCATAATTCGCTATATCTGGACCTCTGGGAGCGCGAGCCCCTGTGTTTGAGTATCGTGGTGTATTCTGCGCGGAATCCGCGCCCGTTCTTACTCTTGTCTGTCAGGAACATAATGAGCAAATGTCTCCCTGAAATCGAGAAAATCACAAATCATAAAAAGGCCGAGAAATATATTCTACAGATGATTTTGAATAAAACTATCTCCATCAAGATAAAAGCCATATTGAAAATTAACAAGTTTCAAAAGTATTTCTAATATGTAGCATAGAATATTTATTTTTACCGAAGGAAAACATATTGTTTTTGCTACACTAAATGAATCCCCTTCTTCTGTTCCAAACACTGACCTCTGACCTGGCCAATGACCTGATTTGTTGACGTCTTTCACCATGGTAACTGGTGTTGGGTTACATCATGTTGCAATTTTATAGTAGGAGGGATTTAGACTCCTGTCTGGCCATATATATGAATGTATTTGAGTAAGAATTAACAGGGCGGACCATATGCGAAGGTAAACATTATGCATTTGGACATGCATTTCTACCCTCCCCCCTCACCTTTGTAGTCATATCATAATCCAGGTATGTAAGCGTGCTGAGTGACACGCTATAACGTGGCTTTGACGTGCACAGGGGACACACCATGACGGCAGTCATAGGGTGCTATATGGGGCACCAACAACGGCTGTCTTTACTGTATCTATATCAACAAATTATGTGGACAGGTAGTAATAGCTCACTCAAAAAATGGTTCAAGAATCATAGTTTGTAGTGGTTGAATTTTTATGACTGGATGAGTTTTCGAAAACATCGAATCATCGGGTAACGGGAGCATGGTATTTTCCCATATATGCAAATATAATTCATTAATATATGCAAGATTTATTCATACATGCAAGCACGTGCATACATTACTACAACTTGTATACCCTCTGTATCATAAGCAATTCATTTTACGTATAACGTTACCCCTTTGCACTCTCATTCTTTCTACCTCAACCTAAGGCACTCCCACATACCCCTGCACACTCTTACGCACCCTGTGCACTCCCACGCACCCTGCGCACCCCCATGCACCCTGCGCACTCTCATTCAACCTCCCCAAACCTGATGCACCCTCACGCACCCTGTGCACCCCCATGAACCCTGTGCACCCCCATGCACCCTGCGCACTCTCATTCAACCTTGTAAAACCTGATGCACCCGCATGCACCCTGTGCACTCTCATTCAACCTTTGTTAAACCTGATGCACCCTCACGCACCCTGTGCACTCCCATTCAACCTTGTTAAACCTGATGCACCCTGTGCAACCTGTGCACTCTCATTCAACCTTCTTAAACCTGATGCACCCTCACGCACCCTGTGCACTCTCATTCAACCTTGTTAAACCTGATGCACCCCATGCACCCTGTGCACTCTCATTCAACCTTGTTAAACCTGATGCACCCTCACGCACCCTGTGCACTCCCATTCAACCTTACCAAACCCGATGCAACCTGTGCACTCTCATTCAACCTTCCCACACCTGATGCACCCCCACGCACCCTGTGCACTCCCACAAATACTGTAATTCTTGATTTTTTTTAAACATTCACTTGAGCAAATTCAGCAGTGGATATTCCACCGCTGTAATTTTATTACTGCAACTATTCGAAAACTGCAACTACAGAAATAATTACCTTATTTACACCTTAAAACGTATGTGCCAGGTGCTTACCCCTTCTCCTCAAGCCATTATATAAGGAAAGAGTAATAAAGAAAGGGAGTAGATAAGACAGCATGCGTTTACCGTTTTAATGGCTTTTCGGGAGTAGCTACGAATCAGGTTTATAGGATAGAAAAAATGTGTTCAGGTTTGGAAAGGTGGAATGGGAGTGCACAGGGTTCGTGGGGGTGCATCAGGTTTAACAAGGTTGAATCGGAGTGCACAGGGTGCGTGGGGGTGCATCAGCTTTAAGAAGGTTGAATGGGAGTGCACAGGGTGCATAGGGGTGTATCAGGTTTAACAAGGTTTAATGGGAGTGCACAGGTTGCGTGGGGGTGCATCAGGTTTAACAAGGTTGAATCAGAGTGCACAGGGTGCATGAGGGTGCATCAGGTTTAAGAAGGCTGAATGAGAGTGCACAGGTTGCATAGGGGTGCATCAGGTTTAACAAGGTTTAATGGGAGTGCACAGGTTGCATGGGGGTGCATCAGGTTTATCAAGGTTGAATCAGAGTGCACAGGGTGCGTGAGTGTGCATCAGGTTTAAGAAGGTTGAATGAGAGTGCACAGGATGCGTGAGGGTGCATCAGGTTTAAGAAGGTTGAATGAGAGTGCACAGGATGCGTGAGGGTGTATCAGGTTTAACAAGGTTTAATGGGAGTGCACAGGTTGCATGGGGGTGCATCAGGTTTATGAAGGTTGAATCAGAGTGCACAGGTTGCGTGGGGGTGCATCAGGTTTAAGAAGGTTGAATGAGAGTGCACAGGGTGCATGGGGGTGCATCAGGTTTAACAAGGTTGAATGAGAGTGCACAGGTTGCGTGGGGGTGCATCGGGTTAAGAAGGTTGAATGAGAGTTCACAGGTTGCATGGGGGTGCATCAGGTTTAAGAAGGTTGAATGGGAGTGCACAGGTTGCGTGGGGGTGCATCAGGTTTAAGAAGGTTGAATGAGAGTGCACAGGGTGCATGGGGGTGCATCAGGTTTAACAAGGTTGAATGAGAGTGCGCAGGGTGCATGGGGGTGCATCAGGTTTAAGAAGGTTGAATGAGAGTGCACAGGTTGCATGGGGGTGCACAGGGTTCATGGGGGTGCACAGGGTGCGTGAGGGTGCATCAGGTTTGGGGAGGTTGAATGAGAGTGCGCAGGGTGCATGGGGGTGCGCAGGGTGCGTGGGAGTGCACAGGGTGCGTAAGAGTGTGCAGGGGTATGTGGGAGTGCCTTAGGTTGAGGTAGAAAGAATGAGAGTGCAAAGGGGTAACGTTATACGTAAAATGAATTGCTTATGATACAGAGGGTATACAAGTTGTAGTAATGTATGCACGTGCTTGCATGTATGAATAAATCTTGCATATATTAATGAATTATATTTGCATATATGGGAAAATACCATGCTCCCGTTACCAATCATCGGCAAGTTCGTGCATCGCCCGTCCGCTCACCGGCCGATCGCGGGACTCGTTCAGTCATCCATTCTACAAATAAAGGAAGGGACATTGCATGTCCTAATCTGCACTTTCTTTTGTAGTATCTCCGGTAATAATTTGTGTTTTTTCCTTGTCTGGAGTAACTAAAAATAGCTGTATAAACTGCGCGGCGCGGCGCGGCGAGGCCGGCGGTCCGCCATGTTGGTGCGGAGCGGCTTCAGACAGAACCTAGCCACTTATTTTGATACGGCGATACGGCGCGAGTTGTAGATGTGCTTTTGAACAAAAAATATGGTATGGAGAAAATAAAGTGAGCGTATGCATTTCACCGATTGTGTATCGTATAAATTTAGAACGTTCTGTGGGGAAAGTCGATGAAATCTTCCGATTAGAACTCGCGGGTAAATCCAAAGATCGAACCGCTACCGAGTCGCCGTCGCCACGTGTTAGCCTGCGCGCCAGAACGCGGGCTTCTAAGTCGTTGCCGCGTGTTTGTTAGCACATCAAGACGTGTGACGGTTCTTCACGTAAAACCATGTTGGTGGGTGCAGAAGGCCATCAAAAGGGTAAGATCTATTTTTTTAATACAAATGTTTTGTGTATATCGTACTTACGGTTTTCATAATAAAGGAATTTTCGCATCTTTTTCGTTATTCACGCTGCCGTTGTGGCGTGTTTACCCGCACACTAAAACGGTTGTCACGTGCACATTGCAACGATCTCTCACGGCAAATTTGTTAGTGGGTATTATAGGTATTTGTGTTTTGATGTTGCATTTTGGAATTGTAGTTTTCGTACTTACAACATTTTGCAAAGTTTTGCATTTTAATCAGTACCGTGAAACGGTTTTCGTAATAAAACGAATTTTCGCAGCTAAGAGTTTAATTTTCGTTATCCACGCTGCCGTTGCGGCGTGTTAATCAGCTCCCTAAAACGGGTTATGTCGTACATACTAGTAGTAGTAGCACATTGCAACGAAATCAGGACATCTAGGCACTTCAGACAACTCTGCCCCTAGCAATTCAAGGGACAACGGCACCAGGCTCAAGTTGATACTATGAGTATGACTAAAACATTATTGAACTGCCAATAATATTCAACTTCATCGCTGATAATTTGACATCAGAAATTTGGCGGAAATTTTGAAACTCTACATGGGATCAGCCGCCCAGCTAATGGCCGGGCCTGTGCCAAAACAGATCGCCAAAATCATGACCATCCGACGAACAACGCACCGATGCATTGGCATGGATACATCTGTAAAATTTATATCTATCAAAAATATAATTCTTTAATTTCATATACTTAGTACTCTAGCATACCTTGTCATTTTACTGATGACTAGGTTGTCGTCGGCACAACGTGCTTTTGACTTTCTTTTAAATCTAACCTCCTTGGTTAGACATGCGGAAGTTTACTGTTAACTTGGGCTTTATTTCTCAAATCATTTTTACCTATTATTCTGCCGATAAAACTGTCATTCTCTGAATTCCAAGTTTCGTCAAGTTCCTCCCGTTTCAGAAAATCCAATTGAGTATAGTGTCGACTTGTTTCCATCTGGGGTCCATGTTGTCTGATCAGGGTCTGATTTTTAGGTTTGTCCATAGAGGTACCATGGTTTGCCAGTGAATTTAGCCGATCATGTATTGATAAAATGGCCGTATTCGTGATTTTTTAAAAGTTCTGCTTCGTGAGCTTTCGTTAGCCACGCTAACGTATTGTTTCCATTTTACACACTGTGCTTAGCTCTTACCTTGGTGCACAAAGGCATTAGTTGGCGTTACGTAGTCACCTCTAATCACAAACATTACCATTTGAAAAGATTGTATTGTACAGTCGTTGAATGGTGGGATATTGCTAACCCACGCTGTCGTCGCCATCTTTGCTCCCAATAATATGAACTTTACCATGGAGTAGGAGTGTCAATCTGCAAACATTTTCAGATAAACGACTACAGACTACACACTGAACCAACCACACCGGGTACAACGATTATTTCATGGATTCGTACCAATCATAGCCATATACGTGCAGAAAATCAAATCTCAACTATTAGTAGTTGTTGTTGTTACTGTTCGTTAGTCTAAGGACGACTTATAAGTTTCATCAAGATATACTAGTAACGTCATTGGTCTGTCGTTCTCGACGATGGCGGCCAGACCATAAACATCACTTCTGTGTGTCCCTCTCTGGCTCAGCAGTCCTATACGGGCTTTGAGGGTTCTTGCCAGTCAGCGATGTGGAGACAGCTGTGGATGCACATACAATTTACTACAAATTTCAAGTAACTGAGCATGCTACATACAAGTATATGAATATGTACAGTAATAAAAGGTTTGCATATGATAACATGCATATATAAACGCTAGGTGGAAGCCAAGCTGGCGTACATGACTCGGAGACTTTACGAGGATAAGCCAGCTCAGACGTAAACGTAATTTCAAAGGTTTGTTGATTGGCAGGAACAGACGACCACATATTAGTTCCACATGATTCCTAGCCCTGTTTTGTGGTCAATACTGGAACACATACTAGTATCCTTTCTGCCCCTCTGCAGAGCATACTTCTTCCTAACAGCGTGATGCTGAATGCCCACGTATACTAGTATTTAAAGGTACTGCACTAATAAAGCAGAATAGATATCGCAGTGTGTGATGTTTCACCAATAAAGTTGTCTTTTGTTCTATAATGATATTGTCTGTGGTGTTAAAGACAAGAGTTCGAAGAGGGCCGTCGTCCGGCAGCCCTGTAGCAGAGAGCGCCCTTCGAGGGTGACCGTCTCGCCGGCGTCAACCGGTAAGGCATCGACACCAGAAACGACCGTCGCTCGACTGTCCAGCCTAGGAGGCGGACCCGATGAATTGGACCTATAGATCTACTATAAAACAAAACATTCAATAACGTTCTCAAGAAATTTTCACATGTTTACAATATGTGATTTTGGTTCTTGAACATGAACATATATATAACTTATATCGATATGAAATTCATACAGTCATTTACAGCGTGTATATAATCCGGGAAAATTTCTGTGATTCTGATAGCACAGCTGAAAAAAAAAACGTAAACATTTCTCTATTGAATCAGGACAAAAATATCATAATCTACGAACAAACTACATCAATTATGAGCGCAAAACCCCTCCCAAAATACACCATCGTTTCACGGTACTGATTAAAATGCAAAACTTCATTATAAGTACGAAAACTACAAAATGCAACATCAAAACACAAATACCTATACCCACTAACAAATTTGCCGTGAGAGATCGTTGCAATGTGCACGTGACAACCGTTTTAGATCGTTTTAATGTGCGGGTAAACACGCCACAACGGCAGCGTGAATAACGAAAAAGATGCGAAAATTCCTTTATTATGAAAACCGTAAGTACGATATACACAAAACATTTGTATTAAAAAAATAGATCTTACCCTTTTGATGGCCTTCTGCACCCACCAACATGGTTTTACGTGAAGAACCGCCACACATCTTGATGTGCTAACAAACACGCGGCAACGACTTAGAAGCCCGCGTTCTGGCGCGCAGGCTAACACGTGGCGACGGCGACGCAAATTTCCGTCTCGTAAACGGTCGTCGCCTTTCCGAACGGTCGTCGCCTTTTTTCAGAACGGTCGTCGCCTTTCGGAGCGGTCGTCGCCATTTCCGATCGACCGAACTTCAGTTCCGAATATCCGCGACATGTTCGGGACTTCCCCGAGTTCTTTGAATGTGTGAAATCACACTTCCTGAAGATAACATCGCGACCGAAGACGGGCCAGAACTTGGCTAGGTGGATTGAAGTTGCGTGGGTGCTAGTACATGTATTATAATTATAAGTTCCGGGGGTTGAATTATCTAGGTTAGAACTAGGCTAGTGTTTGAGAAATTCTCGATTGGAACGGGAAGGGTTTGGGTAACTCTGAACTCGAATGTCTCTGGGTATTTATTTTTCTTGTATGTGAACATGTCCTCTCCCTTTTTTCTTTGTTTCCTTTTGAAATGCGAATAAACATTATTTGAAAAAAAACCCCTCTGAACTAGAACGTTTGTAGGTTTTCATACATTGCTGAATTTGAAACGGGGGCGAGAAAAACTCCACATGATTTTTGGAACAGCCCATTGTGCGAGCATGTAATTTATGAATGCTGCAGGATGGTCTGACTCAGAAACATTCATTCGGAAGCACCATCACACATGCAGGCATTTACTCTGACCAAGGACATTATGTCCTGACTGACTGACTCACAACTCCACCACAGCCGGGTTTTATTTTGTTGTCTCAGTGCTTGCCCAGCATAGCAGGCCATTTCACACTTGTCACCAGCATGGCATTGATGTGCTACCCAGTGAATGTGTCGTATTTACATACAGTGCAGTGGTGAATGTGTCAAGTATTAACATTCAGCAAGGTAACAAAACATAGACATTTCGG